AGACCTTGGGACCTCTCCCCCACCCAAAAAAAGTTAACTGCCTCCAACAGGTCATTTTTTACGATTTCCCAAGCAACTTGGAAGAATTTACCAGAAAATCCATCAGCTCCAGGAGCACTTTCCACAAACATAGAGAAGACAACCTGTTTCAATTCTAGGGAGGTAGCAGCCATAGTCAATTTCTCATTATCCCCTAGTCCAACAAGCTTAGGAATGACCCCAAATAACTCATCATCAAGTCTATGGTCTTCTGTTTTGTACAGTTTTGCAAAAAAAGAAACGGCATTTTGAGCAATTTCCTCTTCAGATTCACACCATTCCCCATCTTCACCTTTAATTCTCAACAATCTATTCCTCATAGCCTTACCTTTGGCCAAAGCGTGAAAAAATTTGGTGTTCCTCTCCCCTTGTAGTGCCCATTTAGCATTAGCTTTTTGTCTCCAGTACATTTCCTCCAATCTAAGGGTGTCCTCTAAATTCTTTCTTGCAGCTTCCAAGTTAGAAACAGTAGCCTCCGAGTAGTTATCATCCACACTTCTTTCGGCCTCCCTCAGTGCCAACTCTTGTTTATTAATCTTTTCAAAGATATTTCCAAAAACCTCCTTGTTCCACTTTTTGATTTTGAGCTTAAGCATTTTCAGTTTGAGAAAGAGATTCTCTATTGGGTTCCCTGCGTAACTTCCACTCCAATTGCATGCTACTAATCCTCAACCCANGACAGCCCCACCAGCTGCCAGATCTGATTGCCCATTCTTTGGTGCCCAAGTCATGTTGGGCAGCACCCCCGTCTCCTCTCTAGTTCCACCTTGTGCACCAAAGCCACTCGGGTCAATGCCATGAGAGGTGCCAAACACTCCATTGCCATGGCTCCCCTCAACCATCTTGTTTGAACCCACGAAAATCTGAGAGATGCCCGAATACACAGCAAATTCGGCAATGGTGTTTCTGTTACCCACCTCCTCTTCAGCACCAATGTGGGTTTTCTCTCCAGTCAACATTGATGCTCAAATTCAAGAATCCCAAGCTTTGGGTCTCTAGAGATTTCAAGAAGAGGCACTCTTGAATAGGTTGGAAGAAATGGGTAGAATGAAGAAAAATGTTATATTTATAGCCTAGGATTTTCAAAGAAGGAAAAGCCCAAATTGAAAGGGCTCTCTTAAAAATCCTAGCAAAAGTGGAAAAAACTTGAGGCATACACTAAAGCAAAAATACATTGTGGAAGGAAAGAGTCATCTAGCAGAGGAAGTCTCCACCACTTATAACTCAAGGAGCAAACTAATGTACACTTCTCCAAGTTTCCTTGAACACAGGGCGTCGGGGGGAAAATGATAGTTCAAGCCCAAATGGCCCAATCTATGTGGAAAGTCCAAATCCAAATTAAGAAGTCCAACCTCATAAAAGATCCACCATGCCCAACATAGTCAAAGACCAGTCAGACTCTCTGCTTGGCTATGTCATCAAGAGGGAGAGCATGGACACCTTACCTGCACCGCAGAAAGAAACGGTCCACCCTCACCTTATCTTTAACCGCATCTCATAGAGAGCTTCCCAATCTCCTCGCCCGTTGAGAAGAAGTCGTGAACTCCACCAAAATAATCGTTTAGTTGTTGTAAAGTAGCCCCAATCTGTTAGGGGACCACTATAAATTGCACACCCCGCCAACACTTGGGGGGCATCACACTTTACCTAAGCACGACTCTTTCCTCTCCCTTAAAGCTTGTACTCTCTGTTCCCCACACCCTTGAGCTAATAAAAGTATCCGGCGACCAAAGCCATTCAAGAGTGGGCATAGGTCACGTTGACTAAACCACTAAAAATCTTGTCTCATCCATCTTTCTTTACTTTAAATTACTGCATTTATTTTTAATCACTTGACAGTTGGTGTGTAAAGTCATTTTGTGCATCATCAATAACAATTAAGTTTACATTTACTACAGTTTAAGATNACTTTAAATTACTGCATTTATTTTTAATCACTTGACAGTTGGTGTGTAAAGTCATTTTGTGCATCATCAATAACAATTAAGTTTACATTTACTACAGTTTAAGATTAATTACAACAATAGTGGACAAAGTTATAAGATTATAAGTCAAATTTACCATTATATTAGTTAAAGTTACAACATATGTAGGTAATATTATAAACTTGAAGGTAAATATACATCAGTTTTTATATTCTTACCTAAAATGATGGCAAATTCGCCTTATATACAAATAATGTCACCCAAAATCATTGTAATATTATAGTAAATGTGGTAACATCGTCCTTAACATTGATAACATTACCTTCAAACATTATATAATTCACCCAAATCGTTATAATATCATCCCTAAAAAATATTCAAATTCATCAAATTAACATATAATTAATCAAATGAACATTGAATTTATTCAAATAACATTAAAATTCATTAAATTAATATTCAATTGCATCAAATTAAAATTTAATTCACTCAATTAATCTTTAAATTCATCCAAATAACATTCAATTTCGCAAATCAACATCCAAAATCATCTAATAAACTTTCAAATCGTCAAATTAAACACCAAAGTATCATACAATTTCATCCACTTAGCATTTAACTTATCAAATTAATAGTAAATTAACATCCAAATTCATCTAATTTGCATTCAATTCATCCAATTTTATTCAATTAACTTTAAATTTATCAAATTAAAAATAAATTAACATTCAATTAATCAAATTAACACAAAAGTAACATTTAATTCAACAAATTAACATTCAAAATCAACAGATTAATATGAAATTTATCAAATTTAAAATCCAAATTAACATTCAATTTTATCCAATTCATTTAATTAACATTCAATTCATCCAATTTATATTCAAATTCCTCTAATTAACAATCAACTCATCAAATTAACGTCTAAAATCATCCAATAAATATTCAATACTTTAAATTAATACTAAAGTAACATTCAATTCATCAAATTGACATCTAATTAACATCTAAATTAATCAAATTAGTATTCAATTCATCCAATTAATATTTAATTCCATTCAATTAACATTCAATTTATCAAACCAAAAATAAAATAACATTCAAATTCTTAAAATTAATTTTCAATTTTATTCAATTAACATTCAATACATCATATTAATAAAAAAGTAACCTTTAATTCATTAAATTAATATTAAAATTCAAATAATTGACATTGAATTCATCAAACTAATATCAATGTTAACATTCTATTTCAAGTAAATCAATATTTATTTCATCAAACTAATACCAAATTGACATTCAAGTTCTCAAAGTAATATTCAATTTCATTCAATTTATCAAATTAACATTCAAATTCATTAAATTAATATTTAATTTGTCAAATCAACATAAAATTAGCAACAAAGTTTAATTTAATTAATATTGAAATTCAACTAATTAACATCAAATTCATCAAACTAATATCACAATTAGCATTCAATTTCAACCAATTAATATTTAATTTATTAAATTATCATAAATTAACATTCAATTTATCCAATTCTTATTCAAATTAATCCGATTAACATCAATATTAACATTCAATTTCATGCAAATCAATATTCAATTCATCAAACTAACACAAATATGATTCAGATTCTAAAATAAATTTTGTTAAATTAACATTAAATTTATCAAATTAACAATACATTAACATTCAAATTCATTAAATTAACATTCAATTCATCATATTAATATAAAATTAACAATAAATTTTAATTTAATCAATACNATTGTATGTGCATGTGTATGTGAATTTCGGGGACAAAATTCTTTTAAGGGAGGAAAAATGTGAAACCCGGAAAAAATTTTAANTTTCTTGTTCGAGGATGGAGGTACATTCTTCTGGTCATTTAGCATTAATTGACTGTTGTATATGCATGTGATTGTATGTGCATGTGTATGTGAATTTCGGGGACAAAATTCTTTTAAGGGAGGAAAAATGTGAAACCCGGAAAAAATTTTAACTTTTTCTGAAAAAAATGGCAAAATGGTAATTTGCCATTATAGTGTGGGATAAAAAAAACTGGTATTTTTATAGACCTTGGATGATGAAACGGACCTCACCGTTGGATTCGTCTCACCAAATCTAGTTACCCAGACAAATTTCGTCGAATTTTGAGATAGTCAGATTTTTCACGTTTTTCGAGGTGACGGGTGTTCGATGACCCCTAAAAACGAAATTTTTNGTTTTTCGAGGTGACGGGTGTTCGATGACCCCTAAAAACGAAATTTTTATAAAAATTTGAAAATTTGAAAAATATTTTAAATAAATTTCATATAAAATGTTTTGAGCTTAAATCGGTACGAAATTTAATTGTTTCGGGATGAAAACGGATCCGGACAAAGGACGACACTTGGCGCGACGAGGGCCAAGNTAAAGTTCATATAAAATATTTTGAGCTTAAATCGGTACGAAATTTAATCGTTTCGAGATGAAAACGGACCCGGACAAATAACAACACTTGGCGCGACGAGGGCCAAGTGTTTAGAAAGTATAAAAGTGGGCAAATATCTGAAAAATCAGATATTTGCTCTTCATTTGGCCGGCTGGATCAGACCCAAGAGCAAAGAAGAAAAAAATATAATTCTTCAAGCTTTCTTTCGCCGATTCTCGGAGTTCCGTCGGTCTGAATTTGTCGGGCCAAGAATTAAAGTCGATCTACGCAACGAGAGCTACGCGTGGGTACTAAAAACAAAGATTTTTACCGAAGATTCAAAGGGAGGATTTTGGAGAAATCTAAGCTTTAGACTTCAATCTTGTTCTTGAGGCTTCCTACAAATTCTTNGAATTTGTCGGGCCAAGAATTAAAGTCGATCTACGCAACGAGAGCTACGCGTGGGTACTAAAAACAAAGATTTTTACCGAAGATTCAAAGGGAGGATTTTGGAGAAATCTAAGCTNGACGGAGGTAGGAGAGAGGTCTTCTACGGGTCCGAAATTGATCAGAGACACCTCGAAGAAGGTGAACTTGATTCGGAAGCATCTTCTCACGGCTCAAAGCCGGCAAAAGAGTTATGCTGATAGACGGCGGCGACCTCTAGAGTTTGAGGTGGGAGATCATGTCTTCTTGAAGGTTATGCCTAAGAGAGGAGTGGTCCGGTTTGGTAAGCGGGGGAAGCTGTCACCGAGATACATCGGGCCCTTCGAGGTACTTGAGAGAGTGGGTACAGTTGCTTACCGGTTGGCATTACCACCAAATCTATCGAGTGTTCATGCAGTATTCCATGTCTCTATGCTTCGGAAGTACACCCCACATCCGACTCATGTGGTGGATTGGGGAGAGCTTGTTGTT